CTTGTTGGTGGAGCGTTAAGTAGAATTTAAACATGTGTTTATTTAAGGCCAGTCATCTATTTACTCTGAAGAAGTAGCTAATATAAAGTCAGAAATCCTCAGAAATGCATTTCTCCTACCTATTCGGATAAAGCAAATGCGTTTTTTATTATCAATTCTCTATATAATGCTCAATATATTTGAAATTCTGAAGGTCAACCTTGTTATTGATACCTAATAACTAGACAAGTTCCATGTTTTTTTAATGTTTTTTTACATAATTCAATAACGTGAACTATTTAAAAATCCTTATCATTATTAGAAATATAGCTACTAACTGTAATGTCATGTTGGAACTAGTAATTCTCACATCTATACTACATACTCGAGTGATCATGAATTAACCACCACTCACTCAAAAAAGCAAGAATACCTTATGCATACAAGAATGCATTGTATTCAAATTAGAATCATGAATGCATTCATGAAAATGTCACTCATCAGTCTGTATAGAAATAGGAGACTGTCACTGGAACAATAAATCTTTCAGATTTATCTTTATACCTATGACTGTTTCTTATCATAATGGAAGACAATCAGTTTGAAGACTGACTTCAGTTTCACATTATTTCATTCACAAAATATTTCATTCATTTGGTGATTTCAATCAGTTAAACTTTGGATTTTGCACAAAATGATTACTACCATTATACTCTGGGAGAAGATATCATTTGTCTTACTTTCTGATGTCTTTCAACAAATTTTGTAAACGAAACTTTCAATATACTTTACAAAAGCTCATGATAACCTATACAAGTAATTCAACGAAATAGTTACACCAATCTGTGCAAACTGATGTGTACGATTTATTCTCATTTATTAATTTTATTACTGGTTCTCTGTATATCGCGAGCTGACTGGGGATAACCATGCACACTGTCGAACATCGAATCAGAAGTCTAGAGGTCAAGCGTCTTCAACTAAATCTCATATTAAAAATTCTAGCCTTCGGTGAAGTCTTCGATGCACACCAACGAGAAGTCTCAAAGATAGATTAAACAGCAACGACAAAACGGCGGTGCAACGCTTGCTAGTTTCGAGTGAGTATTTAACTCAGATCAGTGTGTAATGTGAACTGTAAAAAATAAGAATTGCTGTCCTTAATCCACTTTAATCAAATCACATAATAATATTGTCCTTTATCTGAAACCCTAATCAATCGCCTACTTGCGTGCGCGTGTCTGACTGGTAACCCCAAGTTAGTTTTGTTCAATTACCATTAAGGTTATTTATTAATCCTGTCATGCATTATTGTTTCACACGTCCTCTCTGTCTAATCCTCTGACCTTTGTATTCCACTCAAAACAGCCATTATAAATCTGATCGTATACATGATAACCGGATTACATGATACTCGTATTCTCAATGCAAAATGGAAGTATAAAAGCAAACGTTTATGTGATCGGTTAAACAGGCAAAATATTCTAATCTTGAGGTAGGTTATTCAAATTTTCAGTGTTTGATTGGTATTTCATAAACCTTTTTAAATTTACCTCAAAACCACGCTGATGTATTATTTGTCAGTATTGGGAACATTTACATATAACAAACCGTTGTGATTCACAAATCGTATACTTTATGTAAAACAAAGGTCATCAATATTCGATGAAGTTCTTTACTAAAAGTGTAGGATGGTAGTGAAACATTGACAATGAACCGAGCGTAGAAATGTGAGCTGTTAGAGGCCAACCTGTGGTCACAGTTTCAAGATCTCGACGTGATGCTAGGCGTGATCATGGTCAAACACAAACATGGAGTTTCATACTAGGACAGCAAGTAGTATCCATTCATGATAACGTGATTGCATGAAACTCACAATCGTATTGTAAAATAAAATTATAAAAGCAAACATGTATGTGATCGATCGAGGAGGTAAAATTGTATATTCCGAAGGCACGTTATTCAAAGGTTGATCATTTAAATAATGTTTCATTAGCGTTTTGAAATTGACCTCATAACCATAGATTCACACTTATGCATAATTTGTAAGTAATGGGGACAGTTAAATATAACAAACCGTTGTGATTCAAGAGTCCATGATCACGGCTAAACACTTCTCTGGAGTTTCATACTTGAACAACAAGTAATACGCACTGATATTGATTCTGCCACATTTGTTTAACTGAAGCCAATTTTTGACGATACGTTATCACTTGAACAATCTCTACATATATCTAACAAATATTGTATTAGCAATATTCATGATGATAATTTATCAATGTATTTCTCAGAGATTCAATCGATGTATTACAAAAAGTCGTGTCAGTATTCACCACATAATGCGAAAACTTCAAATATTCGATCAAGTGAAAGTGGCCAACAGAATAGTTCATTAATGCAAATGATATGAACGTTGATTCTGTGAACTCACATAAATGGAATTCAGGGATAAAATTGAATATATTATCTGAATTGAGTTACGGAAAGGTTTGGAAATTGAGTTGACTAGTACCTGGTCAACGGATCACTAATTTCCAGTCGATATTGATGTGCGGAATGGTGAATGGTGGTCAACTTGTAGTGCTTTAACAAGGATAGAAGTTCATCAATATTGCACGTCGCAACAATGAATGGAAATAGCATGGCTCAGTCATGCAGGCTTGATAACCCTTTATAACTCCACGCTAATGTTTCCATCAGATATATTATTCTATTCCCAGCTCAAATATGTTCTTCGAAAATGCTAGACCTCATATTGCTGATAATCAACATCGGACGAGTTAGTGTAGACGACGAAGAGACTTCCACGTAAAACCATATAAATTAAGTAATCACCTCAAAACAAATCGACAACTCTGGAATTGGGTTCATTAATATCGTGGTACTGACACCGAATCAGACCATAATTCTGCAAACTTATCGAAATAACGATGATTCAAATGACGGTATTCGGTACTGGGTTCCGTTTCCGCAATCTCATTCGGGTAATCTGTTTCTTGTAGTCTAAGTAAGATCTAGTTATAAAAATATATTGAGTGAATTCCTTCAAAGTTGTTAAGTTATTTCAATAGATATTGAAGGCCTGCAATAACATTTAAATATGTAATTTCTGTCATAGATGTTATCAAATAAATTGATTCACGTTTTTATTAAACTTAGAAATCATTATATAAATACACTTCTGTTGATGCGGATAAAGTCAACACAAAATTGAGCTGATTGAATAGTTTGGTTACCGGTGTGATTAAAGTCCATGAGAAAACTTCAAAATTATCAGTGTGATCGGAGGAATGTCGAATTGTTGATATATATTCATGCCATCTGACAGGTTTATTATGTGACGATTCAAAGAGTAGAGTCAGCATTGAGGACAAAACAAACATGAAGTTTGTCTCTACTCAATGACGGATCAGTGTGAATATCTCAGTCGCTTGGAGAAATAGTTACTACCTCAATAGATCAGCGACGACACATTCAACTTGGAATCATGCGGCTGAAGTTCGATTTCACCTCGATCATTAGTTCTCCTGAGTGTAAGTGAGCCTCCGCCTCAATTCAGCAGTTCTCCTGTAGGTAAGCCTTTTTGAGGATTGTCAAATCGCGCGAAATCTAAAGTAAGCTGTATTTCACACCGATTTACTCATACCAATTAACATTGGAACGAAGTCATCGTGTATACGACTTATGCAATGAATGTGACCCATTACTGAGTGGCATACGTTTTCAAATTATGGTCCCATTCAGCTTATATCACGACAGCAACTAGAAACACTGACAGCGAATGTACAGTACTTCGAAACACAGTCTATACATTTGAGAAGTATGTTCTTGAAATTGTGCATTTCTTGAGTTTCGGCAAACCTAAGAACACATGCACAAAGAATAAAAAAAATAAATCATGGATCTACGTCAATTCCTACATATTGAGATTATGAGTCCATCAGGGTCAAGCCAACATTGAAAATGTGGATGAACCTGAAAACTGTTCCGTCCTGTACTGAACTCCTCAGAAATGCCCTTCCACGATCCTACACATCGGACGCAAACCCAGTAACATCGATTGTCATTGAACGCCTTATCTGTAGACAATTGATCCGGTACTAAAAGTTGTCAATATATAAGTGTAAACAATGCAAAATATGGCGCGACCATCTCATGCTATACTGATAACACCCCTTCAACTGATATTTAATTACAATTCAACTCTATCTCACTGATAAACTGTTCAAATAAATTTCAGACTGTTTCACCTGATGACCGAACTGGTCTTAATATTGGACGCTCAACCCATAGACCTTTAGGTCGGCATCCAGCGGTGGTAATATCCAACTATGATTAGCTTAACAATGAAGTAAAAACTTTATCCATTTCTTGAAAACATACGACATTATTGGACCACATGTGTCTCAGCTTCTCACTAGAGCTACAGATATTACATACTGATGCAGTTCACTAATGAAGACATAATTTTTATCAGTACACGGTCCCGGATATGGAGCCTTGGATTTACACAGATGACGAGTTCTGTTCATGGATATAACGGATATCGAGTGCTTCCAGTCTTTTAATTGTGATATTAGTTCAAGCGTTTTCTATGGATTTTTATAATTTAGTGTAACTACAAAAAAACTGTTTGATCATGGTTATCGATTGACATTAACGGATATTAGTTGACGGTCAATTCATTCCTAGACTTGATGGAAGTTAAAGTCAGTGTAGAGTTGTGGGTGTGCATTTGTATCTGTGAGAGTATGTATGATAGTTGAACAATTTAGCCAGTTTAGCCGAATGACCCTTGTATATGATATAAACGATTGTCTATATGATATCAGGTACTTTTCATTTGTATATTAGTTGTACATTCACCAATCGCCATGTTATAATGCCTAATCATTTAACAAATCTCTTGTTATTTGACAAATTCGGTCAACTGACTTGCTTCGCATCTCACTTACTACCGATCTTCATGAATTTTAGATCACACAAATAGAAAACTAAATTGGAGTAAGAAAGAATGCAGATTAAGAATTAATTACAATGATTATTTGACATAATCGTTCATTCAAGCTCAAAACAGTTATACAATTAACATTTACTAGCTTTACATATACAGTTTCAACTAATATTAACTAATAATTGCCTGTTGGCTTGAGTTTGTGTATGTGGATGAAGTGTATTTCGATTGAATCTGGACTGAATCGCTTTTGCGGAGCATTATGACTACCATATGCTTGTATACCGATACGAGATACGTGTCTTAAAAATGAAGGCAGTGAAATGGAATACTGTTTTGCCCGAAAGTTTGTTTTAAATGTACTAAATGGTAATTTTATTTGTTGTCGTCCTCCAGGTATCTAGAATGAATTCATAGAAAACAGATTGTAATTATTCTACAAATTGGAAGATCACATTACCTGGAAATTCGTCTCGTATGATTGACATTCGAATGTTTCCGAACATTTGCCATGGACGATGAAGTTGAATTCAGAATATTTACCCTTTTTATTTATATCCAATATAACACCTGTATGTTCTGACAAATCCCAAGTATCCACTATGTATTTTACACCAGAGGAAGCAGATCCATCTGATAGTGTATTGAGTGGATAGAAGAATACTGCTGATTGGTTATTCTAAATATATTTTTCCTTTCAATTCGATGTGAATGTAACTTACATATGTAACATGTTGTACAAGTGTGGCATCAGATCGTCCTTCAACTCGAACTGTTTCTGATACTTCATACCGTTCACCAAGTTTATTGTAAGGATCCATGAAATTAAACAACACTGGACAAGTCGATCGCTTTATTTGATTTATAGACTTTATTACTGGTTGTTTATTTGCATAGAATGTTGTTATTCCAATAGTAAGTGGAGCTGTTAGATTTGTGTTCATATGAGCAGCATTTGAAGCGTGAAGTGAAAGAATGAAAAACGTGGTTGCAAGAAGAATGTTAATATTCATGATGTTGGTGATAGTAAATTGACTAACCTTTCAATGTACTAATGATTGTATTGTGAATGTTTATCTGAAAGAAGAAAGAACACTATTGTACTTCAAATTGAAATCAGATCTTCATATTAATTGACCCATATTACCGTAAGACATTTTGTGGAGATTGTAGGATTTCATAATTTACATCACTGACTGATTTGATTCGTTTGATAAAGATACTTGCCCTAGATAATCAAAGTTGTCAACAGATATTTTTGGACAATTTCAGTTAGTGTGCATCCCATGTCATTGCCGATCTAAGGCGGCATGCATGAACATCTGGGTTACGTGTTCCTGCTATCTAGATATTTCAACAAGATATCTAATTTTGTTTGTTTCAATACATCAATTTGGCTAATAAACGTGTAGTCTATTAATATGCGATTCTGAAAAGTGTACAAATTTTCGTCGTTCAAGTGACAAAGGCCGAATCAGAGATGTCGTGATTGCTGGCAATATACATAGAAAAGAATGTACACTATTCAGATGTCGATTGACTTGACTGCTAATTTCTAACTTGCGATTACTCCATGTTTGTCATCAGGATCGATCAAGAAGTCAGAAATGGAAACTTGTTAAAATACATTGTGCTGAGAATTCTATGTTGTGCCAAAAATATTAAATTGAACAAAGCTAATGATAGTAATGATAATATTCACACTGATCCATCTTTGAGTAGAGACAAAGTTCATGTTTGTTTAGCCCCCAGTGCTGATCGTACTCTGTAACACGTCACATAATAAACTTATCAGCTGACATGAATTTATATCACCAATTCGATATTCCTCCGATCACACTGATAATTTTGAAGTTTTCTCATGGACTTTAATCACACCGGTAACCAAACTATTCAATCAGCTCAATTTTGTGTTGACTTTATCCGCATCAACAGAAGTGTTTTTATATAATGATTTCCAAGTTTAATAAAAACGTAAATGAATATATTTGATAACATCTATGAGACAAACACATATTCAAATGTTATTTCAAGCCATCAATATGTATTGAAATAACTTCACAACCTTCATGTAATTCATTCAATACACTTTTATAACTAAATCTTAGACTGAATGATAAATATATGATATATACGGAACTCAGTATCAAATACCGTCATCTGAATTCTCAGTATTTCGACAAACCTGTAGAGTCATTGCCTAGTTCTATACAAATACCAAGATAGTAATAAAACCAATTCCAGAATTGATGATTTGTCATAGCGTGACTACCTAGTCTGTATAAATGTTAACAGAAGTCTCTTCATTGTCTACACTGACCCGTCCGATCGTGATCATCAGCAATATGACGTCTAGCATTTTTAAAGAACAAATTTTAGCTGGAATGATTACATTACAATATTACAATAATGAAGCTTTGTATAACTTACCTTCACAACAGAATATTTTGTCCCTTCAACCGATCACACACATCTTTGCTTTTATACTTTTATTTTACAATAAGATCGTCCGTTTCATCCAATCATTTTATCATGAATACGATCAGATTTATAATGGCTGTTGAGAATGGAATAAGAACATCAGCGGATTACATAGAGTGGACGTGTGAATTATTAATGCATGACAGAATTAAGAAATAATACCAATAGTAACCTTAATAAAACGTAAATGTGTTTACTAGGTGCACAAAAGAGTTGATGAATGATTAGTTGTCAGATGATTGGTAATATTAACATGTGATTTAATTAAAATATAACAACGACAGCAATTGTTACCTTTTTATCTTTTACATTTCAAACTGTTCTGAAGTAAACATCCACCCAATCGTTCAACTTCTTGATTTAATGTAAGAAAACAGGAACAAATGAGAACAAATAAGACTAGCATTTACTAGCTTTACAAAAAGAGTTTCAATTTCATTACACTAATAGAAAGCTGTTGTGTCGAGTTTGAGTACTTTGATGTAGTATAATTTGACTGAACCTGGACCAAATTGCTTTACCACAGCGTTGTGATCACCATATGATTGTATACCTAAACGAGATACTTGAGTTAAATCGGAAAGCGTTGATTCAGATTTCAGTTTTGCCCGAAAGTATGCTTTAAATGTACGAAATTATGTCTCTTGAGATCTGACAGAAAACGCATTCAATTATTCACATATTTGAATAATATATTATATTGAACAACGACTAATATGATTAACGAGCTAGTGTATCCGAACATTTGCCGCAGAAGATCAACTTGATATACGATATTTGACTCTATCTATGTAGATCAGTTACAAAATCTGCATATTCTGACAGATGCCATATATCCAATATGTGGTAGACACAGTTGTTTTATTTCAGATTCAGATGTACCAAACGATCATATTCTCTATCAATATAGTTTACCTGACTATTATTCACCACTTTGATTTTCATAACTGGTTTGTCAGCTATTTTGACACAAGTATAACAATTATTCACTTAATAGGCATGCTCACTACTTTTAACATGAATTCAATAACAGTGGAATTTCAAAAATTATGTAAATTTACAGCGTCATTGTTCATAGAATATTCGTATCATATAAAATGAACTCAAACAGTTATATATTGAGGAATTTTATTGGTTTGATCTGTCTTCGATCAATGTACACTGAAATCCGATTACAAACGGCCAGATGACGTATCTGTATGTATTGCTTATCATCAAGAGAGTAAATGTGCTAAAATCTGCTAAACCCATACATCTGTGGTTCTCAACATATCCATAATTACATCATCCTCAAAGTTTATTGTCTTTGATGAACAATCAACATCATGCAGTGATATTCTTTATATGGAATGAACACTAGTAAATGCAGTTGTATCAATGACGAGAGATTACCCTAATTCCAACGCTTCCATATCTACAATCGGAACATTGAATAGTCAGTGGACTGATCACATCCGACTGTTACACTACTAAATGTTAAGCATTGGTATTCGTTCAGATCCGTATGCCTTGCTGCCTCTCCGTTTTCTTTCTTTTTTTCTATCTTCAGAATCTTCCTGATCACACACACACCATAATATTCACCATCCAGCTCATTCTCATTTATAGATTTTATTATCGATTCTCTCAATATCGCAAACTGACTGGAGATAATCGTTCAGACTGTTGAATATCGGATCAGAATATTAGAGGTTAGGCGCTTTACACAAAATCTGATGTTCAAAATTCCAGCTATCAGAGAGGTCATAGGAAAACACCATTGAGACGTCTCATAGTTGAACAAAACAGCGGTTTAACGCTCTCCAGTTTCGAATGGATGTTTATCTCAAATCAGTGTGTAAATCAGAGTGTTAAACAGTAACAATTGCCGTCCTTAATCTACTTTAATTAAATCACATAATAATATTATCCTTTATCTGAAAGCCTAATCATTCACCTACTTGTGTGCGTGTTTGTGACACTATTAACCACATGTTAGTTTTATTCAATTACTGTTGTCATTATTCACTAATCCTGTTATGAATTAATGTTTCACACGTCCACGCTATCTAATCCTCTGACCTTCGTATTCCACTCAAAACAGCCATTATAAATCTGATCGTATACATGATAACCGGATTACATGGTACTCGTAATCTCAATGTAAAATGGAAGTATAAAGGCAAACGTGTATGTGATCGGTTAAAGAGGCGAAATATTCTAATCTTGAGGTAGGGTATTCAAATTTTCAATGTTTGATTGGTTTTTCATTGGCTTTTAGAAATTTACCTCCAAACCATGGATTCACACTGATATGTAAATTGACAGTAATAGAAACAGTTGATTATGACAAAACATGGTGACCCACAAATCGTATAGTCTCTGTAAACAAAAAGTTCACCAGTATTCAATGAAGTTCTTTACTCGGAGGAGAGGATGATTGTGCGAAATTGACAATGAATCGAACGTAGAAAGGTGAACTGTCAGAGGCCAACCTCGTTTTCACAGTTGCTAGGATTAGTAGATTTTCGTCAGTATTCATAATATTTTATCAACGTGATTCTCAGTAATTCTCTCAATGTATGACGCAAAGTCGTGTCAGTATTCACCTCATAATGCAGAAACCTCAAATATCCGACTGCGTGAAAGCGGCCAACAAAATAGTTCAGTAATACAAATGATATGAACGTTGATTCGGCCAACACATATACATGGAATTAAGCATGAATATTGAATATATTATATGAATTGAGTTATGGAAACATTAGGAAATTTTGTTGACTAGTACTTGATGGACGAATCAGTAGTTTCTAGTCGGTATCGATGTGCAGAATGGTAAATGGTAGTTAACTTGTAGTGCTTTAACGAGGAGAGAAGGTCATTGATATTGCACGATGCAAAAATGAATGGAAATAGCATGACTTAATCATGCAGGCTTGGTCACCATAAGCATTCTTGGTGACTAAGATTCATGGAATGACTGAAATAAATTACTGAGTGACTTACGTTTGCAAAGTATGTTACTACCCAACGTATATCAGAACAGTCACTAGAAACACTGACAAGAAGCCTTCAGTGAACCGATCAAGGTAAAGTCAACAATAAAAATGTGTAAGCACAGGACGACCGTTTCGCTATGAAAATTTATATAACCTACCTCAAGATTAGAATATTTCGTCTGTTCAACCGATCACATAAATGTTTACTTTTATACTTCTATTTTACATTGAGAATACGAGTACCATGTAATCCGGTTATCATGTATACGATCAGATTTATAATGGCTGTTTTGAGTGGAATACGAAGGTCAGAGGATTAGATAGCGTGGACGTGTGAAACATTAATTCATAACAGGATTAGTAAATAATGACAACAGTAATTGAATAAAACTAACATGTGGTTAATAGTGTCACAAACACGCACACAAGTAGGTGAATGATTAGGCTTTCAGATAAAAGATAATATTATTATGTGATTTAATTAAAGTAGATTAAGGACGGCAATTGTTACTGTTTAACACTCTGATTTACACACTGATTTGAGATAAACATCCATTCGAAACTGGAGAGTGTTGCACCTCTGTATTTTTCAACTATGAGACGTCTCAATAGTGTGTTCCTATGACCTCTCTGATAGCTGGAATTTTGAACATCAGATTTTGTGTAAAGCGCCTAACCTCTAATATTCTGATCCGATATTCAACAGTCTGAACGATTATCTCCAGTCAGTTTGAGATATTTAGAGAATCGATAATAAAATCTATAAATGAGAATGAGCTGGATGGTGAATATTATGGTGTGTGTGTGATCAGGAAGATTCTGAAGATAGAAAAAAAAGAAAGAAAACGGAGAGGCAGCAAGGCATACGGATCTGAACGAATACCAATGCTTAACATT